TTCACTCTTATTGCCCAGCCTGGAGTGCAATGGAGTGAGCTTGGCTCACTGCAACCTCCGTCTCCCGGGTTCAAGTGATTCTCCTGCCTCAGCCTCCTGAGTAGCTGGGATTACAGGGGACCACCACCATGGCCAGGTAATTTTTTTTTTTTGTATTTTTAGTAGAGACAGGGTTTCACCATCTTGGCCAGCCTGGTCTTGAACTCTTGACCTCAGGTGATCCACCCACCTCAGCCTCCCAAAGTGCTGGGATTACAGGCATGAGCCACCGCACCTAGTGAGTTTTATAGTTTTAACTCTTACCTTTAGGTCTTTGATTCATTTTGAGTTAATTTTTGTATATGGTATGAGGTAGGAGTCCAAATACATCCTTTTGCATGTGTCTATGCAGTTCCCCAGCCCTACTTCTTGAATAATTATTTTCCAATTCTTTTACCATCAAATTGTTTTGGTATCCTTGTCAAAAATTAATTGGCAGAGAGGTATAGGTTTATTTCTATACTCTCAGTTGTATTCCATTGATCTTTATGTCTATTATTATGACAGCAGCACCTTGTCTTAATTACTGCAGCTTTGTAACAAGTTTTGAAACCAAGAATTGTGAGTCCTCTGCTTCGTTCTTTCTTTTCAAGGTTGGCTTGGCTATTCTGGAGTCCCTTATTATTTCCACATGAATTTTAGGATCAGCCTGTGAATTTCTGCAAAAAATACAGCTAGGATTTTGATATGGACTTTGTTGAATTTGTGGATTAATAAGAGAAGTGCTGCCATCTTAACAATATTGACTGTCAATCCACTAACATAAAATATTTTTCAATTGTTTGGAACTTCTTTAATTTATTTCAATGGTGTTTTGTAGTTTTCAATGTTCAATTCTTATGCTTTTTTGTTCAATCTATTCCTAAGTATTTTATTCTTTTTTTAGTGCTATTATTGCAAAATTGTTTTTATATTGACTGCATTCAGTGATATTCTAAACATATTAATTCCAGCAGCATGTCCATAGAGTCTTTTGGATTTTCTATAATCATGTTGCTTAGAAATAATGACAATTGGTGCAGCACACCAACATGGCACAAGTATACATATGTAGCAAACCTGCACATTGTGCACATGTACCCTACAACTTGAAGTTTAATAATAATAAATAAATCAAAAAAAAAAAAAAAAGAGAAATAATGACAATTTCTTTAATTTCTTTATTTTTCTTTTGAGACAAGAATCTCACTAGTATCGAACTACTCAGTTTTATTTTCTTCTGTCAGTTTTGGTAAGCTCTGCTTCTCAATAAATTTTCTCATTTTAACCCAAACTATGTCAAATTTATCATTACAAAATTGTTAATATCTTGTTTTTGTGCTTTTGAATATCTTCAATAACTTTTGATGTACAATGTAATATCTTCTTCTTCATTCTTGATATTGTCACTTTTTGTTTCTTTTCTCTTGGTCAGTCTTCACTCATAGAGAGTTCTTAATTCTTTATCTTTTCTAAGAACAAATCTCAGCTTTGTTGATTTTCTCTGTTGTATGTTATATCCTATATATCATTGATTTCTGTTTTTCTCATTACATTATTTGTTTGATATAGCATATTCTTGAGATGCAAGCTTGTATTTTTGCTTTGCATTTTATTTCCACATATATTTTCAAACTCTGAAAGCCATTTCAATTATTGTTTTACATAGTCAATTCATATTTAGCCATATATTTATCCTTTCTACTCTTCTTCATTCCCTCCAGTATGTCCATGTTTTCATCTCGTCATTTTCCCCTAAGGAAATCTCTTTAGCATTTATTTTATTTTATTTTTATTTTGAGACAAGGGTCTCACTCTGTTACCTAAGCTGGAGTGCAGTAGTGTGTTCTCAGCTCACTGCAGCCTCAGCTTCCCAGGGTCCGCATGATCCTCCCCCACCTCAGCCTCCCAAGTAGCTGAGGACCACTGAGCCCATCTATACTAATTTTTGTAGAGACAGGGTTTAGCCACATTACCTAGGCTGGTCTTGAACTACTAGACTCAAGAGATCTGCCCATCTTGGCCTCCCAAAGTGCTGGGATTATAGGCGCCGACCACCGCCTGGCCTTAGTATTTTTTTAAAATTCAGGCTGATAAATATACTAACACAGTGATAAAGTTATTTAGTTATTTTCTTTCTCTATGTCTTATAAAGTTATTTAGTTATTTTCTTTCTCTATGTCTTTTTTCACTTTCATTGTGAAGGATATTTTCCACTGGTCAGAAACCTAGGTTGGTAAAATTTTGAATATGACGTTCCATTGTCTTCTGTTTTATATCATTATTGTTGAGAAGTTAGCTGTCAGTTTCGCTGTTGCTCTTTTGAAGGGAATGCATAAATGATGTGTCGAATTTTAACATTTTCAGCAGTTTTGCTACAATGTGTCCAGGTGTGGTTTTCCCTGTATTTGCCTCTGTTTGGGCTTTACCAAAACTCTAAATCTGTTGGTTGATATCTTTTATTATTTTGAAATGGACTCTGCCATTGTCTCTTTCAAGGTTAATTTTGTCCCATTCTCTCTCTACTCTGCTTCTGGGACTTTAATTATGCATATGCTAGATCTTTTTTTTTTTTTTTTTTTTGGCATATTATATTCCTTTGTGTTCTTTCCATTCTCTTATCTCTGGGCTTCAATTTGGATATTTTCTACTGATATGTCTCAAAGCCCACAAATCCTACATTTGCTTATATTGAACCTAATGTTAAACCTACCCAACTGGCTCTTCACTTCAGACACTGTATTTTCAGTTCTAGAAAGTCCATTTAAATCTCTGTATAGATTGTAATTATCTGGTAAAACTTTCCATCTTTTCAAGCATTTACCTATTTTTTCTATATTTTCTTGAAAATATTAATCATAATTATTTTATACTTTTTTAAAAGAGATGTGGTCTTGCTATGTGACCCAGGCTGCAGTACAGTGGTAAATTCACACGCATGATCATAGTGCACTACAGCCTCAAAGTCCTGGGCTGAAGAAGTCCTTCTGCCTTAGCCTCCTGAATATCTAGGCCTACTAGTGTGTGTCACCATGTCTGGCTTGTTTCTTTACACAGTTGATTATTAGTTATATGGTCTTGTCTCTTTGCAGGCCTCATAATTTTTTTATCATATGACAGACATTGTGTGGGTGGTTTCCAGATTATATTTCACCAGAAGAGGTTTCCCTTTTTCTCTGTCAGGCAAACATAGTGAGTGGCTAATCATGTAAACCCCTTTATAGGGCATGGTCTACCTAGCCTTTTTATAAGAATTTTAGTTCCTTTAGTCCTTATTGCTTCCACAAATCTCTGATGCCCTAAAAATTATAATTTTATAAGGTATGAAGGTTTTCATAGTTGTAGCCGGGGAAGCACTGGCCTACCACAAAACCATATCCTACCCAGAAATGGAAGCTCTCTTGTGTTCTTCAAAAGGAAGAAGATGAATGCTCATGAGCTCACAGAATGGTTCTAAATGTGCTCTTCCTGCCACTACTCACTGTAGTTACTATTTATCATAATTGCCAATAATACTCAGAGAGCATGACTAATCACACTGCTGCTCTCAAATTCCCCAGTGTCTGTTAACTACTCCCCTTATGGGGTCAAAAGGGTGAAAATAGGACCAACTGAATGAGAATGCACTGCAAGGCAGACTGCCTATGCTTCATGCAATTCACGATGTCTTTTAAGACAAAAAATAATCACATAATACTTAACTGTATGCATGAAAAAATCTAAGATATCATGATCAGTCAAAGGCAATGAGCTCCTCTAGGACTCAGATTGTGATCTCTGAAACCTACTAACATTAAAAAAAAAGGCTTCTTGAACAAAGGGTTTATTATGTATGGGACTGAAGCTAGATATATACAAGATGAGCCTAGAACAGCATGTTACTCTGCATAGCAAAGAAACTATCAAAACTACTGGAAACAGTCAAAAGAACTCAGGAGTTAATCTGGTAAATCTAGATGGTATGAAGATAATAATATATCTACAATATTTATGAGACAATTTGAACCCTGACTTAATATTGGATATTAGTTTTTATGTATAAAAGTATTGTAGTTTAAAAAAATCTTTACCATTTAGATAGATATATAATGAAACATTTATGGAGGAAATCATGTGATATCTACAATTTGCTTCAAAATATGGATGGAAAAAAACTAAAGAGAGGTATAGATGAAAGTAGTAGCCATGAGTTAATTACTGTTCAAAGTGGATAATGAGTAAATGAAAGTTCATCACATACTTCTATCTACTTTTGTATATGTTTGAAAAATTCCCATAATAAAAAACAAAATTCATTTTCACTCTGATTTGTCTTAACAGATCTGTTGATTCTTGTACATCACTTGCTCTCCCCTGACAATGGCTGTAACGATGGCATAAGTATGGAAAAGGAAAAACGTATACTGACATGGTTTGGCTGTGTCCTCACCAAAATCTCAACTTGAATTGTATCTCCCAGAATTCCCATATGTTGTGGAAAGGGCTGAGGGGGAGGTAACTGAATCATGGAGGCCAGTTTTCCCCTTGCTATTCTGATAGTGAATAAGTCTCATGAGATCTGATGGGTTTATCAAGGGTTTCTGCTTTTGCTTCTTCCTCAGTTTTCTCTTGCTGCTGCCATGTAAGAAGTGCCTTTTAACTCCCACCATGATTCTGAGGCCTCCCCAGCCATGTGAAACTGTAAGTCCAATTAAATCTCTTTTTCTTCCCAGTCTCAAGTATGTCTTTAACAGCAGCACGAAAATGGACTAATACATATACCAAAAGGTGAATCAAAAAATTTGTTCCCCAATTATCACCCCAATTTGACAAATATTAACTATAAGAATGTCTACTATATACTATTAATGCAATAACTATGAAGCTTAAATATCTTATTCCAGAGTATCCTCAATCGGAGTGTTGCAGTACCATAACACTGATATTCCTCTCTAGCCATACCTTTGCTTTAATATAAAATAAGAATTAATAGAGCTATTTACCTTTATTAGGTCCTGCTACTGTAGATCTATCTGAAAGTTTAGAATGGGAAATCTGTGTTTCAGATTTGCTTTGCATAGTCATTTGATTTCCAAACCTCTTGGGTTCTAAGTAAAAGACTGTAAATTTCTGCTGAACATCAAGCCCAACTGGAAAATGAAAAAAACGTATACAAATGCTTATTTAAGTCATATAAATCCACATATGAGAACACATTTCTTTTTATCTCTCTTATATTTTTATAACTTCTAGAGCTAAGAAGTCCAGAAAGTTAAAATATGTTGAAAGGTTAAAAAATACAACAACTAAAAAATTATATATTGATCATTATAAAAATAAAAATCTTCCAACAATAACTGCAATTTAACTATCTAGGAAAATAAAATATCTATAAATGAAAAGATAAACTTTTAATTATTGCATCCTGGTCCATGATATCTTTTACATACCTAAATACATGAAACTTCCTTTAAAGTTTATTCACATTATCTAAATATCTTATTTTTGCATTATACCATTTATACTGTTTTTCTGTACCAGCATAAAGGATGTACTTTTTAAATGCAATTATGTTATTTATATTCACGTCTTCATTACTTCAATTAACTTACCAAATTCAGAACTTATTAGATTTATGCTAAGATCTTCAGATTTAAGAGCTCTCTTCACAGCAATCTTTTTAGCCCAATTTCCAGCTTTTAGCAAAACAGAATCCCTGAAAAATAGTATAGTTTAAATAGTGATCCAAACACTGAATGAAATACATATTAATCGTCAAGGGCTGATTGTTCTTAAGAAAGATACTCTCTAGTAGTAAAGAAATCAATTACTGAAAACTGCTTTCTCCAACTTTTAAGGAGGGAGAAAAACAGAGTTCAAAGGCAGTATCTTGACCATGATTTTTAAAAAGCTAACTAATTTTCTTTTTTTTTTGAGACAGAGTCTCACTCTGTTGCCTGGGCTGAAGTGCAGTGGTGCAATCATACCTCACTGCAGCCACAAACTCCTAGGCTTGGCTTCCTGCCACGGTCTACTGAGGAGCTGGGACCACAGGCACATTGGCACTAAGCCCAGATTATTTATTTATTTATTTATTTTTGTACAAATAGGATCTCACTTTGTTGCCCAGGCTGGTCTGAAACTCTGGGCTTTAAGTTTAAGTGATCCTCCTGGCTCAGCCTCTCAAAGTGCTGAGATTACAGGTGTGAGTCACCCCCTCCGATCTCTAATTTTCTTAATTACAGCTGTTTCTACCTTGCATTTACTCATGTTAGTCCTAATAAGAATATATACTTTGTATTAATAGCACATGAACTTGTCCTTAGATTGCTACCATTTTAAACTGGCTATACGTAGGTTACATGTATTATGAGAACAATTTCAATAGTATTTTTAAATTGATATAAAATGGTTTGTATCTAAAAACATCACAAACAAACCAGCAACCAATTTTATGACTGAACTTATTTTAGTCTCATATAGTCATAGATTTATTAGTCACAGAGAACAAAGATTTTGTACAATAGCATATTCTCTGTAAGTGGGTCATGGTTAGCTGCAGGAGAGCAGTTACCAGTGAAAGGGATATCCTGGTCACTGCAGTCCCTTCAGAAACCTTGCATGCAACTTTTTGGGAAGGTATCTTCTAGTATACTGCGCGATTAGGAGATTCCCATTTCAGAATCACTGCCATTCCTGGACTTACAAGTACAGTAATACGGTTGGCAGTCTAGGCTCTGGAGTCAAATTGCTTGGGTTCAAATCTAGATGTTGCTATTAACTAGCTATATGACCATGATTAAGGTTTGATTAATCATAAACTCATTAAACTCTTTTTGTCTCAATTTTCTCTTCTACAAAATATGGATAGCACCTGTATCATGCAAATATTAAATAATACAATATTTGGAACCTACTAAGTGTAAAAAAATATTAGTTATAGCTGCAAGTGATACTTAGAGATTGCTTATGATATTGTGGGAGAAAATAATAGTATCTGGAAAAATGCTGCAGTAAAAATTATAGAATGGCATGCTACAGAACTAGATATAAGGGAGGGTACCTCCTCTATACATTTGCTTTGTTTGCTTGGATCCTACAATGGAGCTATAGTAATTTGTTAGATCTTAATTTGGAAGTAGAAGGTGTATTTTGAGGTCAGTAGGAGAGAGACTGCATCCAAACAGTAGTAGGGCCATGAATGACTGGAGAAAAGCAGTGAAATAAGAAAGACCTCCTAGAGGTAATCTACTCACTTGTTTCGTACCATGGTGATAGATTTTATACTTTGTTCATTTGAGTACTAAATATAACAATTTAAAACAGACCCAATGTTAATATCTTCTTTAATAGAAAAATAGACAAACTACCCCATTATTGGGCCAGGAAAATGTAATTTAGTTGATCCCACAATGATCTTGTTGTTTTTTTTTTTCCCCAGTAGAATTTTTCTTTTACAGTATATGCTTAGAAATAAAATCAAATGTCAGGAATTTCACACTTACATAATCTTGTGCAGATAAACTACCTGATTATCTGCATCACCTACGATTAAGGTAACACAGTGAGAATCCGATGCTGTTCTTTTAGTTTGTAGCTGTTCAAAGTTTCTTAATATAACAGTCACTAATATTTCTGCCGTTGTATCACTATATCTTGTAATCTTTAAAAAAGGACAAGTATAAAAAGTGTTAAAAATAATCTTACTTCTTGTACTCAGCTGAAGCCTATTTATGGGTAGCTTTATTTCTGAAAAGACAAAAAAATATCTAAGAAACAGAAAATATTTACCTGTTCCACTTTAAGTTCATATTTTGGTAGATACATCACAGTTTCTTTTATCTGGGTTCCAAAGGGGGGATGTCTATTTAAAATCTAAAAATATTTACACCATTATATCCTTACCACAACACGTGAAATTCTTTCAGTAAAATATTTTTTAGAATACATAGCTTTAATAATGCTTATCACCCAAAACCTTGGTAAGTTAAAATACTTATGACTATGAGAAGGAAAATAACTTTTAATAGAAATAAAGGTAGGCCTCAGAATTTAGCTAGAATTCAGGAATTAGGAATAAGTGAATGTAAATACCAATTCAAGTTCCCTTGCATCTGTTTCTTCTATTTTTTTAAAGGAAGTCAAACCAGCATTTACGATTGCATTTGACAATGTTATACCTGTGGAAAATTAATCAAACAACAACTTAAAAATAACCCACTTTAAATAAAACATATATTTAAATATATAACAACTAAATTAGTAAAAAAAAAATTTAAAGATCCAGTCAAATAAATAAAAGATTTTTGTAAAAAGTTTTCAGTTGGATTATTTGGTTTGTGACATTCTTCAATTATTCATATTTATTCAGACAAATAAAATATGCATTTGCTTTATAAAAGAAAGAGAAACCGGTCCACATGATGGACGTTTAGTTTCACTATATGTCATCCACAGGCCAATCACCAACAGATATGTACTTTTGTACTCATGATTGAAAGAAAGGCAACATGATTCAAAGATCATGCTTGAATGAAGCAAGGGAATACTGCTTCATGAAACTATGGCTCTCATTTCTGTCTTAGAAATACAGTTCTATGTTTCTGTACCTAAACCAGACTATTTTACTCTACTGCCTAAAACTTCCAATGCTTTTCCACTGCATTTAGAATGAAGTGGCAATTTCCTTACTGGGGTCAAATTTCCTTACTGATATGACTTGACTACAGTCTATGTCTCAAATCTAATTTCTTTTAACTCTCCTCTTGCTGACTACTCTCCAGTCACTCTTGCTTTCATTTTATTCCTTAAATACATCAAATTTGATTGGGCCCAGTGGCTCATGCCTGTAATCCCAGCACTTTCGGAGGCCGAGGCAGGTGGATCACCTGAGGTCGGGAGTTCGAGACCAACCTGACCAACATGGAGAAACCCCGTCTCTACTAAAAATACAAAATTAGCCAGGCGAGGTGGCACATGCCTGTAATCCCAGCTACTCGGGAGGCTGAGGCGGAGAATCACTTGAATATGGGAGGCGGAGGTTGCAGTAAGCCGAGATCATGCCATTGTACTCCAGCCTGGGCAACAGAGCGAATCTCCATCTCAAAAACAAACAAACAACAAAAAACATCAAGTTCATTTTCTTCTTTGAAATTTTCCTATTTCCTTATACTGTCAGAAGGCAGAATTTAAAATTCTTATATGCTTATGAATAAATTTATCCAAATCCCCAAATAGAAGACACTGAGCAGTATAAAATTCCAAAATATTACTACCTTGTCTAAGGCATATATATTACATATATTACTAGTGAAGGCATGACACTATTTCCTTACTCATATATTTACTTGTTCTTGGGAATTTCTCTTAGTTCTTCTTAAGACACAGTTTCTAGTATTCATAATTCCTCAATGTTCATTTCCATTTCCCCTCAAAATGTTTATTGACTTTTAACTTTATAGCCACCATTAAAATCAATTTCTATGCATTATTTTTTTCAAGATGCTCAGTAACAACTTAGATTTAACTTTTTGTTTGGATTCTCTCATTTTTCTATTATATGGTTTTTTTTTTTTCTGGGTAATATTTGCTTTTTTCTGTTCAGCTGTAATGAGTATGTGTGAAAACAGGTTAGTTTCACCAATCTGGAAGGGAGAGAATGCAATGGATGCTCATATTGACAATACTCTAGAAAGCCAGAAAGATTGGCTTTTTCAAGTATAATGAAATTTACTAGTAATCACTTAGCCAAATTTCAAAATTTTCTAAATGTTGTATGGAACCACCTTTCCAATTGAGAACTCTTGCCTTTGTGGGATGGATGTGGTATTTGGTTACCAGGACTTCTGTAAGAAGGTTACCCTTTCCATCAAGAATCTCTCCCCTTACTTGCACCAGCCAATCTCCCTTTCACCCCAGCTCCCATGACTTCCTAGTCATCCCTCTGCTACCCCACTGATTTCAAATTTCACAGATACAAAAGGTAGGACTTCTTCATAAACAGTTGGTAATTTTTGTTCAAATAAATAATAAAACATCCCCAAAAATCCATTATTTAATTTGTTGATACCCTCAAGATGAATACAAAATTGTAAAACTAACAAGGCTGTCAGTCATAAGATAGTAACTCTCTTTTTAGAATTCTAGCTATCTAAGAAGGAATAGGGTCACAAGGTCACAGGTACCAAACAGGAAAATCCTTTGTAAATGGTACTCCCTATAGTCTCAGAGCACACACTACACAAGGTTACTATAGACAAAATAATCAGGCACAATCTTTTGTCTACAGAATCTCTATGAAAAATCAGTATTAATACCCTACTGTTATTGAAAACAAAAAAAAAAATTAAGACATAAAAAAGTGACATAATTTTCTGTAATGAATTAGGAACAGCTGGGACTGCTAACTCTGTACCTTGTAATTGAGATCAAAACAAAATATTAGTCATAAAAGTGGACGAGAGGGCATCACATAGTTACCTAATTATTATAAGCAAATTTCCCTCCTGGTATGAGAAAAAATTTTCAAATGACAGCATTAATTTTTATTAGGTTTCTCATGTACTCATATATCATTCAGTTGATTTCAAATAGAATCTTTCAAGCAGGAGCAAATGAAAATCAGAGTTTTGAAAGTAAAGTACAGCACTTATTTAAGCCTACAAACACATATCTTCCTTGAAGGTCTGTAATCATCACAGAATAATTTTACTAACAGTGAATAAATTGCAGACATGGCCAAACTGCCTGCCTATATTCAGTACTTACCAATTTTTTCCAGTTGTTTGGATACATGCAGAGAGTTTTCCCAAAGTTTACACCTAAAACATTTAGCTAAAATCAAACTATTCAATAGTACGGTGAACTTCTTTTCTTGAGCAGCTACAAAATCTGACAACCCTAAAAAAAAGTTTCCAATATTAAATCTAATATACTAGTTTATTGGAAAAAATATTTAAAATCCACTAATCCTGTAACATACATCTTGTAATTCGGGAGCCATGTCTGAAAATCTTTGCGATATCTTGCGTCAAAGCAAAATCTTGTATGGGAATGCATCCTAGTTGAGCCTGAATAAGACTGGGGGAAAGAAAAAAACTGTTACTCCCTTTTAAGGGTTATCTATCTTACAGTACTTGACATCACTCACTGAAGTATTCCTTCTTAAAACTTTTCTCTGCCTTAATTTCTGCAATATTACATGATTCTCTATCTTGCATAGTTATTATTGCAGGTCAATAATAAAAGTTCCTTCCCTTTTCCCCAAATCCTCAAAGTTGTCTTTATTTATTTATTGCTCTTCTTTATTCACTCAATCTCTCTCTCTCTCTCTCTAAAAGATCTCATTTCTTCTCCAACTTTCATTATAATCTCTAGATTGATAAAAATCACAGGAGACTTTCACTAAGACTGTTACTTTAATCTCAACTATCTCAAATTGTTTTCATGTTCTCCTCCAATACAGTTCTATCTTTTGGCTCTACTATTTCTTTTCAAGGAATTAGAGAAAAATAATACAACTTGTTTAATCAACAAATACAACTTTTTTAATCAACAAATTTTTATTAAATGCTTACTAAGTGCCAGGCATAGTATTAGGTGCTGATAATTCCGTTCAGTGTATGAAGGTCAGTAGCATATTAGCTGGTTATTAAAAACCAGAAGCTGCTTGGCTACTAAATTTGAGGTGTTAGTTGTATAAGGAGAAAAAAGACACTAGTGCCTGTGTGCCTACTATATCCTGGGTTCTTTACTACCTGTTTTGCCCATAAACTTACCTAATCAGGCACTGATATGCAAATCACTGATGGTTCTAACTAAAGTTACTGTACGTATTATTACTCTCTTAAAGAGATCTCTTTTAAATAACAAATTTCTTCCTAAACTCCTCCAGTAGAAGGAGGTCTCTTGATAAGACCAATACAGTCAGCTATACAAAGAAAAAGGGTAGAATAGTTATATTTCATGATTTAGTTTAGCAGAAGATACATGAAAATTGAAAGAAGTAATCAACTCACTTCCTGGAATGGATGTATACAACAGAAATTTAAACTATTCACTTTTTTTGGCTATGGTATATGCTTCTGAAAATTATTTTATATCAACTAATAAGAAATAGTTACAAAGATACACAGTATACTATCAAAGAAGGAACTGACGGAAAAATGTAAATGCGGTGCTTTTAAATGCTGGGTAAATAAAACTCCTTGTTAAGTTACCTAAGGATGCACAAATGTGAAGTACAAAATTGCTGGAGTAAAAATAAGACTTTTGAAGTAATATTTATTTATATTAAAAAGCAATATATCTAATAATAAATAGGATACTTTTCACAGAACCATGGCAGGGCTCTCTGTTTCTCTGCACCAGATAAGGCAAGCAGTGATGTTCTGTGATCTTACCCCTGAGCTTGTCCTCAGTAGAAAGAGAAGTGCCACAGCCTCAGGTGAGGCGGCACCTCTACCACCTCAACTAACAGGGGCAGAGTTACATGGTAGTTATGACTAACCCAGGGTTAGTAAAAGAATTAAATGAGATGAAGTATTCATTCAGTTAGAATTACATTTATGATCAGACCATATCAGTCTACACACAAACAGTTTATTCTTGTGTGTAAAAGGGGAATCCAGAGTTGGGAAGTCCAGGGCTTCGTATAGCGGCTCCGTATCATACCCTGTGAGTTCACTGAAAAACACCAGTTAAAGAAAACAGAGCTAGTGCTGAAGAGGGAAGACCTAGGAATTAAAGCTAGGAAGAATTTAAAAATAGCCTTAAATTAAAAGGGCAGAGTCAAGCACGCTGACTCACGCCTGTAATCCTAGCACTTTGGGAGGCTGAGGCAGGCGGATCACTTTTGAGGTCAGGAGTTCAGGACCAGACTGGCCAACATGGTGAAACCCCATCTCTATTAAAAATACAAAAATTAGCCAGGTGTGATAGTGTGCTCCTGTAATCGCAGGTATTCTGGAAGCTGAGGCAGGAGAATCACTTGAGCCTGGGAGGCAGAGGTTGCAGTGAGCCGAGATCATGCCATTGCACTCGAGCCTGGGCCACAGTGCAACACTCTGTCTCAAAATAAATAAATAAATAAATAAATAAATAAATAAATAAATAAAATAAAAAGGGGTGGAAACCAGAAATTTGAAAGATAAAATCCTAAACTAAGAGGATTAACATCTACTTGGAGAAGAACAGATTTGAAGTTCAGCAAAGTAACGGATATGACAAAGCCATGAAAAAGGTAACTATTAGCCATCATCACTGACCAAAAGACTATAAATTTTGGATTAAGACCCCTCCATCCCACACATACACACATTCTCTCTTCTTGGCTATGCTTAAACAAGATGCACAAAGGCGTGAAATGACAATGGGAATCTAAATTATGACATGTATAAAAACAATTATAAAGTATAATAAACTTTAAAATCTGGCAGCTTCAATCAAAAGAATATACTACCCAATTTAAGGCAAAGTTAATGGAAGCACTGAAAGTTCAAATAAAGTGTTTCCATGAAAATGAGTGTGGAAAAATACTTGATTTAATTTGACTCAATAATTTATGCAACACAGTATACTGGGGGGAAAAATGAGAAAATCAAGAGTTCTAGATAGCAACATAACCTTGGTGAAGTCATAACTTACATGGGCATCATTTATGTCATTTGTAAAAAGAGAGGATTGGGCTCTATCATCTCTTAAGTTTATTTACTATGATCTCTAAGGATATATGAATTTATAGAAATAAATATTTGAATATAGAAGTACAGCTAAGAAAATAAACATTAACTTCAGTGGTACACGCTACAAATCTGCCTGATGAATTGTAAACAACAATGAGAAGACTATTTTATAGACTTAAAGGTATTTGGAAGATAAAATTTAATGAGATGTCAGGAAGAATCCCAAAGAAAGAATGGCCTCCTCTAGCTATGGAGGAAAAATAAATTCTTTGGCTAATTGGTTTTATTGAGCCACATTAAAAAAGATCATTTCACCTTAAATTACATAACACTAAGACCTACATCCTCAGAAAGCCAAGCACGTAGCATAACAGAAAACAGTATCATTGCATTTGTGATTGCAAACTGCTAAAAGTCACAAGTTACAGTGTAACCTTAATTTACTCTTTCAATTACTAATCTCTGTACAAACTCCCCATTTTTGGCAGAATAGTCATCCACTGTCACATATACACTACTTTACTAATGATTTTGCTTTTACTCTTTGTCTCTCCCAGAATGCCACTACCATTCAGTAGACATTTATTACACAGGTTTTCATACTGTCCACAGTTTACAAATAATACAAATGTATTACTCTCATTCAAGCTAACTTGAAAGCTCCTGACAATGAGAAGCATAAGAAGCATGTCTGCTTTCAACCGTCCACCTTGCCTCAACAGAATACACTCTGAACAAATATTTGTTAAGAAAAAGCATTCACAAATCATCAATTTTAAAGTCTGAGAGTTCTAAGAAATTTCACATCCACATTCTAACTCATTTTTATGTAATTTTTTTCTGTATTAAGAAAAACAAATTTAAAATAAGTTTTAAAACCAAAAAAAGAAAACTTTCATAAGTATGAATCATCTTTACCAATTTACTTTCATTTCTCTTGTTTTAATTCTTCCTTCCATTGGAAATCTGTAAATAAAACCACATGGCAAAACATGTATTATTATTTATTTTAATTAAATAAAACCTCTTAAAATTATTTAAAACATATGCAATTTCTCTACCTGATAGTTATCCGATGGGGATCTTTGTTCAAAGTATTCAGTGTTTTCTTTTCATTTATCCTTAACTGTATATCTAGAAATTCCTTGCAGCCGGCTATCAATGTAACCTATAACATTTCAGCAGTTGTCCATTTAATGAAGTCTATTTTTTGTTTATATCCTCTCATCCTTTCTCCACATTTATTTATTTTTCATACTGCCTTAAACCATCACAGTTTTATCAATCAACATAACAGAGTTAAAAACCTGCTTTATACATTATGGTTCTTTAAGGATTCATTCATTCACTAACAAATGCTTACAAACTCCTATTATATACCAGATACTGCATTAAACACCAGGACTATACCAATAAGACTTTAAAGATTAACAAGATAGAATTTAAAATATCTAGCCCAGTGCCTATCACATAGTAATAAATAAGTCCTCAATAAACATTGATTTTGTTACTACTGAGAGACAGAACTAGCTGGAATTTCCTAGGCTGACTAAGAACCCCTAAGCCTAGCTGGAAAGGTGACCGCATCCACCTTTAAACACGGGGCTTGCAACTCAGCCCACACCCGACCAATCAGAGCGCTCACTAAAATGCTCATTAGGCAAAACAGGAGGTAAAGAAATAGCCAATCATCTACTGCCTGTGAGCACAGTGGGAGGGACAAGGATCGGGAAAGAAATCCAAGCATTGGAGCTGGCTATGGCAACCCACTTGGGTCCCCTCCCCTTATGTGGGAGCCCTGTCTTCACTCTATTTCACTCTATTAAATCTTGCAACTGCACTCTTCTGGTCCGTGTTTTGTTACTTCTGGAGCTGGAGCTGAGCTTTTGCTCGCCATCCACCACTGCTATTTGCTGCTGTGGCAGACCCACAGCTGACTTCCATCCCTCCAGATCCAGCAGGGTGTCCACTGCGCTCCTGATCCAGCAAGGCGCCCACTGCCACTCCCAATTGGGCTAAAGGCTTGCCATTGTTCCTGCATGGCTAAGTGCCTGCATTCGTCCTAATCGAGCTGAACACTAGTCACTGGGTTGAACAGTTCTCTTCTGGGAACACGGCTTCTAATAGACTTATAACACTCATTGCATGGCCCAAGATTCCGTTCCTTGGAATCTGTGAGGCCAAGAACCCCAGGTCAGAGAACATGAGGCTTGCCACCATCTTGGAAGTTGCCTGCCACCATTTTGGAAGCAGCCCACTACCATCTTGGGAGCTCTGGGAGCAAGGACCCCCGCCAGTAACACTACTACTACTACTATTCTGTTCTATAGTTTGCAAATCATTATCTCAATTGAGGATAATTTAGTCATAGAAAGAATGTTTTAGATACTAGGAAATTTGGATTCTAGAGCCTACTTCTGCCAGATGACAAAGCAGTCTCTGTGCTTTGGTTTCCCACATATCTAAAATGGAACTAACACTTGTTTTAATTTTCTTACACACTTGCTAAACTCCAGATCAGATGAGTTAATGTTAATAGTGGGTGTTTTCGACTCTTTGATTTCTCCTTAGTTAAGAATAATGTTTACACAAAAATACAAACCTTCTATCTTTCATCAATTGTTGTTTATGTGACTCCTCAATCATAACTGGAAATCGACTGTGTAATTTTTACTACAATAATCTTACCACAGTAATCCAATTAGATATTTTAATAAAAATGAATAGCTTAAATTTGAGAGTAAATATTTTCTTTTATAAATATTGTTTCACATTCATGTCCTAAGTAAAGGAAGAAAGGACCAACACAATTAGTATGTGCCAATGACATGCCTATGGTTCTGTTCACTGCTGCAGCTGCAAAGTTGCCCCATTGTGGACATTTTAGCATAACCTGTTATTATTCTCATTTTCTCTACAGTCAGTTCTTTTATCTGGGTCATCACCAATACTATTCTATTTCCATTGTTCTCACTATTCTGACCCAAAAGATTTAGGGAAGGGTTGCAAGTTTGTGGCACATATGCTGCATGCAACTCACTGTCCTTCGCTCATGGCAGACTTTCCTAATATATCATACCACATCATCTTGGAATCTTTCTTACATATTATTACATTCTGTAGCCACTACCAAGGTAATTAGCATTATCACCTAAGTTGTAAAGCAGTTGCCATACCTACTTTAGTTTTGTATATAAATTTTCTTAGCCTGAGTTAAAACAGAAAATATAATATATTCTAAGAACTATTCTATATCTCATGATCAGAATTACACCAGAGGAAACATAAGCATTCTTAGAAATGCTTTCTTTTCTGCTCATTCATTCCTAAATTATATGAGATACACAAATTAGTTGTTTCTCAAATATTATTTTATACTCTACCATTATATATTTATTTTCTAGTGAAAATTAATTTACCAGATCTGATAAGGTTTCTTTTCCACTGATTGTATAAAATTTCTTCACTGTCTCAAATGTAATATAATACCAAGCCATCAATCTTCCTGCTTCTGTAAGAAAAGATGGAAAAATGAACACTCCCCTCATCAGCTGAAACAACTTCTTTTTTTGTTAAACAAACATTTCCTGAGGGGAGGAGAAGAAAGATGGCAGAACAGAAGCCTAGACCATTGCTCCCTGCTATGGGAACACCAAATTTTAACAACAATATGCACACACAAAAGCACTGTCACAAGAATCAAAAATCAGGTATCAGCTTGGTCATGGTTGGGTAGAGCAACAAGGAGGCTCTTGCGGTCTCCAAGTCCAGGCCTAGGCTCTTAGACAGCATTTCTGGACCTGCCCTGGGCCAGAGGGGCGCCTACTGCCTTGAAGCATGAGCCCCAGGCCTGGCAGCATTCACTATAAGCTGACAGAAGAGCCCTTGGGCTTTAAGTGAACATCAGTGATGACTTGGCACAACTCTCTGAGCACCAGCAAAGGTGGTGACCACAAGCAGAGACTCTTCTGCCTGTGGAAAGGGGAGGAAAGAGTGAGAAGGAATGTGTGTTTTGGTTTGAGTGCTAGCTTAGCCACAATAGAATAGAACACTACGTAAATTGCTAAGGTTTTTGACTCCACAATCCCTGGCTCCCAGACAGTATCTCTGGACACACCTAGGACCTGGGGGAACTCACCATCCCAAAGGGAAAGGCCTTGGGCAAGGCCCAGTGCTGTGCTGGCTTCAAGTCTGACCCAGCACAGTCCCAGTGGTGGTACCCACAGGAGTGCTTACATCAGCATTGCCCCAATTGCAAGTGGCTCAGCACAGAGACAGAATCAGTATTTTTGGGAGAAAGTAAGGGAAAAAAACAAGAGTCTTTGCTAGTCCAGAGAATTCTTCTCGGTCTTATCCATGACCACCGAGGTGGTAGGTCTACGAATCTGCATAAACCACAGCATAATTGGGTTTATGGAAAAGTTCCTGTGAATACCTGGAAAGTCTTCTCAAGAAGGAGAGGCAAAAACAAGCCCAGACTGTGAAGACTAGAATAAATAACTAGCTTCTGAATGCTCAGACACCAAAGAACACCTCCAGAAAACATGACCTCACCAAAATGAACTAAATAAGGCAGGAGGAATCAATCCTAGAAAAAGAGAGATATGTGACCTTTCAGACAGAGAATTCAAAATAGCTGTTTTGAAGAAACTCAAAGAAATTCAAGAAAACACAGATGAAGGATTCAGAATTCTATCAGATAAATTTAACAAAGAGATTGAAATAATCAAAAAGAATTAAACAGAAATCCTAGAGTTGAAAAATGCAATGACATGCTGAAGAACGCATCAGAGTATCTTAAGCAACACTGATCAAGCAGAAGAAAGAATAAGTGAGCTTGAAGACAGGCTATTTGGAAATACATAGTCAGAGGAGACAAAAGAAAAAATAATTAAAAAAAAAAAATGAAGCACACCTACAAGATATAGAAAATAGCCTCAAAAGGGCAAATCTAAGAGTTATTGGCCTTAAAGAAGAGGTGTAGAAAGAGATGGGGGTAGAAAGTTTATTCAAAGGCATAGTATCAGAGAACATCCCAAACACAGAGAAAGATATCAACATTCAAATAAAAGAATGTTATAGAATATCAAGCAGATTTAACCCAAAGAAGGCTACCTCATGGTATTTAATAATCAAACTCCCAAAGGTCAAGGATAAAGAAAGGATCCTAAGAGCAGGAAGAAATAAATAACATACAATGGAGCTCCAATATGTCTGGCAGCAGACTTTTCAGTGGAAACCTTACAGGCCATGAGAGAGTGGCATGACATATTTAAAGTGCTAAAGAAAAAAAAAAAAAACCCCTTTTACTCTAGAATAGTATGTCTGGTGAAAATATCCTTTAATGGTGAAGGTGAAATAAAGACCTTCCGAGACAAACAAAAGCTGAGGGATTTCATCAACACCAGACCTGTTCTCTAAGAAATGTTAAAGGAAGTTCTTCAATCTGAAAGAAAAGGATGTTAATGAGCAAGAAAAAAATCATTTGAAAGTACAAAACTCACTGGTTATAGTAAGCACACAGAAAAACAGAATATTATAACACTGTAATTGTGGTGTGTAAACTTGTCTTGACTTAAATAGACTAAACAATGAAACAATCAAAAATAATAGCTACAACAGCTTTCCAAGACATAAAATAATAAGATGTAAAGGGAAACAAGAAAAAGGTAAAAAGCATGGGGTAGAAGTTAAAGTGTAGAGTTTTTATTAGTTTTCTTTTTACATTTTTGTTTGCTTGTTTAGGCAATCAGTGTTAGGTTATCATCAATGTGAAATAATGGTTTATAAGACAGGATTTGCAAACCCCATGGTAACCTCAAATTGAAAAACATAAAACAGACACACAAACAATAAAAAGCAAGAAATTAAAGCACGCCACCAGAGAAAATCACCTTCACTGAACGTAAGACAGGAAAGACAGAAAGAAGGAAGAGAAGACCGTAAAACAACCAGAAAACAAGTAACAAAATGTCAGGAGTAAGTTCCTACTTATCAATAACAACATTGAATGTAAATGGACTAAACTCTCCAATAAAAATACACAGACCGAGGCTGGGCAGAACGGGTCACGCCTGTAATCCCAGAAATTTGCAAGGCCAAGGCAGGAGGATTTCCTGAACTCAGCACTTTGAGACAAGTGTGAGCAACATGGCAAAACCCCATCTCTACCAAAACTACAAAAAAATTAATCAGGAATGGTGGCACATGCCTGTGATCCCAGTTACTTCGGGGGCTGAGGTAGGAGGGTTGCTTGAGCTTGGGAGGTGGAAGTTGTAGTGAGGAGCACCCAGATATATAAAGCAAATATTCACCCAGATATATAAAGCAAATATTATTAGAGATAAAGAGAGAGGCCCCAACATGATGATAGCTGGAGACTTCAACACCCCACTTTCAGCACTGAACAGATCATCCACACAGAAAATTGACAAAGAAACATCAAATTTAATCTGCACTATAGACCAAATGGACCTAATAGATATTTACAAAACATTTCATCCAACAGCTACAGAATACACATCTTTCTCATCAGCACATGGGCCATTCAAGGAGAGACCATATGTTAGGTCACAAAACAGATCTTAAAACAGTTTTAAAAATTGAAATAATATCAAGCATCTTCTGGAATAAAACTAGAAATAAATAGCAAAAATAATTCTGGAAACTATACAAATACATGGAAATTAAACAACATGCTCCTAAATGAGCAGTAGGTCAATGAAGAAATTCAGATGAAAATTGAAAAATTTCTTGAAACAAATGATAATGGAAACACAACATACCAAAGCCAATAGGATACAGCAAAAGTAGTATGAAGAGGAAAGTTTCTTGCTACAAGTGCCTACATCAAAAAAGAAGAAAAATGTCAAATAAAAAACTTAATGATGCATCTTAAAGAACTAGAAAAGCAAGTTCTAATCAAACACAAAATTAGCAGAAGAAATAATAAATATCAGAGCAGAAATAAAATTGACATGAAGAAAACAATACAAAAGACCAATGAAACAAGAGTATTGGTTTTCAAAAAGTTTAACAACATTGACAAACCTTCAGCTACACTAAGAAGAAAAAGAAAAGATCCAAATAAATAAAATCAGAGATGAAAAAGGAGGCATTACAACTGATACCATACAAATTCAAAGGATCATTAGTGGCTACTAGGAGCCACTAAGTTGGAAAAGCCAATAAATTGGAAAATCTAGAAGAAATGAGCAAATTCCTAGACACATACAACCTACTAAGATTGAACCATGAAGAAACCCAAAAGCTGAACAGAAAAATAATAATGACACTGAAGCCATGTTAAAGTCTCCCTATAAAGAGAAGCCTGGGACCCAATGGCTTCACTGCTGAATTCTACCAAACAATTAAAGAAGAACTAACACAAATCCTACTCAAACTGTTTCAAAAAATAGAGGAGGAGGGAATACTTCCAAACTTACTCTACTAGGACGTTATTACCCTGATACTACAACCAGACAAAGACATATCAAAAAAGGGAAACTAGAGGCCAATATCTTTGATGAATATTGATGCAAAAACCCTCAACAAAATACTAGCAAACCAAATTCAACAACACACTGAAAAGATTATTCAACATGATTAAGTGGGGTTTATCCCAGGGATGCAAGGATAGTTCAACATATGCAAATCAACCAATGTGATACATCATATCAAGACAATAAAGAACAAAAATCACTACTGATGCTGAAAAAGCATTTGATAAAATTCAACATCCATTCATGATAAATATCCTCAAAAAACTGGGTATAGAAGGAATAATAAAACCATCTATCATGACCCACAGCTAGTATCATACTGAATGGGGACAAATGGAAAAGCTTTCCTCTAAGATATGGAATATGACAAGGATGCCCACTTTCACCACTATTATTCACCATAGTATTGGAAGTCCTAGCTATAGCAATCAGATAGGAGAAATAAATAAAGGACATTCAACTTGGAAAGGAAGAAGTCAAATTATCCTTGTTTGCAGATGAAATAATCTTATATTTGGAAAAACATAAAGAATCCACAAGAAAACTGTCAGAAATAATAAATAAATTCAGTAATGTTGCAGGATACAACATCGACATACAAAAATCAGTGGCATTCCTATATGCCAACAGTGAAAATGCCGAAAAAGAAATAAAAAAGTAATCCCATATATAACACCCACGCCTAAAATTAAATATCTAGAAATTAATGAAAGAAGTGAAAGATCTTTGTAATTAAAACTATAAAACACTGGTTGATTGCAGTGGCTCACGCCTGTAATCCCAGCACTTTGGAAGACAAAGGCGGGCAGATCACTTGAAGTCAGGAGTTTGAGACTAGCCTGGCCAACATGGCGAAACCCCATCTCTATTAAAAATACAAAAATTAGCTGGACGTGATGGCAAGCACCTATAATCCCAACTACTCAGGAGGCTGAGGCAGGAGAATTGCTTGAACATTAGAGGCGGAGGTTGCAATGAGCCAAGATCACACCACTGCACTCTAGCCTGG